GTTAGGGTTCAGGATTGCTGATGACAGAAGGGAAGGCAAGTCAATGTCAGATGAATTTCCTGGCCTAGACTTGAGGAAGGCAGAAGATGCCAGGAGGAAAGAGAGCAGACAGGCGGGAGAGGGGCTTTCCTGCATTTCCAAACAGGAAGGTGCTTTCTTAAGAGAATTCCTTTGTTAATCAACAAATATTTATGATATGCCCAACTATTAGCCAGACACTGTGTTTATAAGGAGTTATAAGATGAAATCCCTCTCTTACAATGCTTACAGTCTAGTGGGGAAGACAGACATTCAAAGAGTCCTTCTGTGGCAGTTGGCGAAGGTCTATACTAGCTAACTTGTTCTCCACTCGGGGCCCAAGGCCCTGCTGTTCCCTTTGCTGAAATCCTCCCAAGCGTTCTTAGCATGGCTCTACTCATCTCACTTAATACTGCTCATTCATCTGGAGTCTCTATCCTATTTCTCTGATGTACACCCTTCACAGCATATACACATTGTGTGAAAATATATTTCCTTGTTTCTGTGTATCTTCTTCAAGGTTACTTACCCTGAGATTAGGAGAGTGCCTAGCCAATTCACAGGTTGATTCATTCATTGATTCATGCATTAGACATGTGTTTAGAGCACATGCTACATACCATGCACTTAGCTAGGTCCTCGGGTCTGTCTATATGAGGGAGCAAAATCTCCCTTCCCACCCGGAGCTTAATTTCATGTTGAATAATGACAACAATTAACGTTCATCGAATGCTTTCTATGGATAATATTCATGACATTTAATCTTCATGACAACCCTATGAGACAGATAATGCTTATAATCCCTGTCTTACAAGAGAGCAAGACCTTGGGCAGACAGGTCAAATAACTTACTCAAGGCTATAGTTAGTAAGTGGTCAAGATTCACACCAAGGGAGTCTGGCTTGAGAGCTCCTCATCTTAACTTCTCTGCTATACTGCCTCTTATATATGACACACAGTACACGTGGAATAAATATTAGTTGAAACCATGGCTGGATGCATAGTCCTAGAAGAACAGATACATCATTTTGGGGTGGGGGAAAGTCAGAATACTTCACAGAGAAAGTGACAGAGCTGATCCTTGAAGGCTAGGTAAGAGCTCATTTTTCAAAATTTTTTTCTTTCGTGTCAGACAGGTAATGTGCCAATGTCATAAAAGGTTTGGGGGTGACATACCTCACACATGTGTATGAACACTCAATGATCATGCTTATGAACTACAAAAGGATCATAGGTAAGAGTTCAAAGGATGGAAAGGAAGTGAAGGAGGGTGCGATTGTGGTCTGTGTGGAGGTGGGAGGTGTTGCAGGCAGAAGGCACAGCATCTACAGAGGCATGCAAGCATAGAGACATATGTGCTGAAGTGTGAACAGCAGATATTTACTGTGGCTAGTGCATAAAAGAGGTTAGAGAGAAGAGGTCAAAATAATAGAATGGAGTTATATCATGAAGGGCCTCTTATATCCTGCTAGGTAGTTTGAACTTGGTCCTAAAGGTACTAAGAAGGGAGACCCTTAAGAGTGACATTCTGATTACAGGAGTGAAAATTAATTCTGAGGGAGAAAGGATGGTACCTAACGAGACCAAAGCGGCTGAAATGGGATTGCCAAAGAGCTCAGATTTAAAAGACTATGAACAACAGGTATAACCAGTAATTGGAATAGAGAAGCATCATGTTCTCTTCCAACTATGAAATTTTATTATATACTTAGCTTCTTTGTATCAACTTCTTTTAATTAAATGGAATCTTCAAATTCCCCCATCTGGTTACCTATGACTTCAGGGACCTCAATACAATCTAATGGCAGTAAATTCATAATGACAGTTCCAAGATTCAAAATTATTTGGTGATTATCTTTCAGACATATTTTCAAGCAGATCGCTTTGCCTTCTACCAGAGAGGTATGGAAAACAAGCAGACCAAGATCTCTTCCCAGGTGGGTAAGTGGTGATCTTACAAAAGGAGGAAGACTGGGGCAAGCTCCAGGGCTCCAGGGCAAGTGCTCTGGGAGGTGAGTTTGTAACTTGTACAGATACTTTCTTTATCAGCAACATCAAATCTGTTTTGTACATCCCTGGTATATAGCACCTAGTACAGTGCTGACTCAAGTTAGCTGCTCAGTAAATGCATGTTAAATGGAACCAAAAGACCAGAAGGCAGATTGAATCACACCACTGTGGCTGAATCCCACAATGCTGCCCCTACCTGGCTCCCACTCAAGTTATACTCAAGCATAACTCAAGTTTCTTCTGAGAATAGAAAGGAACCTAGAGGTCTAGAGGAACCTAGATAATGCATTTCCTATTCTGTGCAAAGCCCCAGTATGAAATGGCACAGAAGTAAATGGCACTCTGTCCAGTTTGCTTCTATGATTGTCAAAACCCATTCAGGTGTCAGAAGAAATATTTAGGGGACATGATAGGGATCCCTCTATTGTCTCTGCAGTGGAAAGGTTCTGCTGTGGGAAAGGCTTCCCATTCTCTTCTGCTGTCTTTGGCATTCTCCTACAAATTGTCTCTGCCATTTAGACCTCATCTCTCTCAATTTAGGATGAGAAGAAATGGCTAATTTAAGTCAAGGTTTCCAGTTTTAGATGCTGTTTTCTCGAACATTTCCCCAAATATAAAGAAAAGCCGCGCCGGAACCCTCAAAGGGTTTGCAGTCTGGAGACGCACTGAGCTGGGTGGACGTGGTAATGAGGTTATGAAACTGGTTCTATATGACGGTCTCAATATTTTATAATCAGACTGTGTGAGTGTTTGGAGATGTAAGTAGCAGATGATAAAAAGGAATATTAAGTATAAACTAGAAATTGACAACACTTGAACAATCACCAAGCTAACCTTCTGCTCTGATAAAGCAAGTATCTGTCATTTTGAAAAAACTATAGAGAAAGTTCCCCACTGTAATGTTTATAGGAAAATCTCAATATTTGGAATAAATTCTTAAATAATGCACATTTATCTTTTCATTATGTGACTGACAAGTGAGATCCAAAGTAACACATAACTGTTTCTATTGGAAACATGCAGATTATTTTGGATTGCAATTTTCTAAGTTGAAGGTGATGATACTATAAATATTTAATAGTGAGTTACACAATTTAAGGCTTTCAATAGTGAACTCGGAAATTGATGACATACAATCTGTTAGTTTGTGGACTTCGGGGAAAAGCTCTAAAGAAAGAATTTGGAAATTCTGGAGAAAGTCGGAACTGTGTTAAAGAAGCAATAGCTTCTGTAATGTCAGAACTGCCTCCTCTCCCTTTTCTACCTTGGCTAAGATCAGGAGCTGCCAACATTGAATGTCTGACTTTCCCTTGAAAATACTGCCAATGGAAAATGTTATTTCAGGCATTAGAGTTAAAATTTCTCTGTGTGTGTGTGTGTGTGTTTACAAGTCCAGACTTTATTTTCTTATTTCTTTCTTTTTTTATTTTTGAGATGGAGTCTCTCTCTGTTGCCCAGGCTGGAGTACTGTGGTATGATCTCGGCTCACTGCAACCTCCGCCTCCCAGATTCAAGCATTCTCCTGCCTCAGCCTCCTGAGTAGCTGGGATTACAGGTGTGCACCACCACACCTGGCTAATTTTTTTTTTTTTTTTTTTTTGGGACAGAGTCTGGCTCTGTGCCCAGGCTGGAGTGCAGTGGCCAGATCTCAGCTCACTGCAAGCTCCGCCTCCCGGGTTTACGCCATTCTCCTGCCTCAGCCTCCGGAGCAGCCAGGACTACAGGCGCCTGCCACCTTGCCCGGCTAGTTTTTTGTTTTTTGTTTTTTGTTTTTTTTTTTTAGTAGGGAGATGGGGTTTCACCGTGTTAGCCAGGACTGGCTAATTTTTATATGTTTGTTTTTTAGTAGAGATGGGGTTTCGCCATGTTGGTCAGGCTGGTCTCGAACTCCTGACCTCGTGATCTGCCCACCTTGGCCTCCCAAAGTGCTGGGCTACCACACCCGGCCTATTTTCTTATTTCATTTACAGCAAGCTTGGACTTGCTTGGAATAAAATAAACAATTAAACAATCTCAAAGACATTTCTGAACAGTGCATCCTGGGGACAAATTATGCAAAACAATACAAATCAAAGAAACAGGAAGGGAAAACAAAATGATCAGAAGGTTGACAACAAAGTGCATCACAAAAACATTCTTCAAAGAGTTTGTATTTTATTTTTGCCCACAAATAATTAGCTAGATTACTGTCTGAGAACCTTTAATTTTTAGAAAGTGGACTATTTTCTTCAATACTAAGAAATCAGGGCTGAGCACGGTGGTTTATGCCTGTAATCCCAGCAGGCCAGGATTACTTGAGCTCAGGAGTTCGAGACCAGCCTTGGCAACATAGTGAAACTCCGTCTCTACAAAAAAATACAAAAATTAACCAGGCGTGGTGGCACAGGCTTGTAGTCCCAGCTACTTGGGAGGCTGAGGCAGGAGGATCGCTTGAGTCCAGGAGGCGGAGGTTGCAGTGGGCCGAGATCATGCCACTGCACTCTACCCTGGGTGACAGAGCAAGATCCTGTCTTTAAAAAAAAAAAAAAATCTGTCTGGAAGTCCTTACTTTATATTTCATTGTCAAACTGCTTTCCCCCATCTCTTGACTTCACCTCTCTCTACATCCCCAAGCCAAGAAAGAAAATGACAAGAAATGGACAGATGTTAGCACGAGTTGGGCGCGCTTTGGGGATGGGGAAGTCTGAGGTCTCGGAAAATCTTTTCTACATATACACCCAGCCCTGTGAGTTCTCACTTTCTTGACCCACGCACCAAACTCTCAAAACCACCAAAAAGGAGAAGGGGGGGCGTCGCCCACCCCTCCTGGCATTCCGCAGCTGCCACCTCTTTCCCTCCCATCTGGCTCCTCGGATGCCCGCGGGGGAATCGAGGTGAATAGCGCCCGGCGAGGCCGCCGCGGACGCCCCGTCGGATGTGCCCTTCGCTGGGCCGAGAGGGTCAGGGTTGGAGAGGGAAGCGCTCGTGCCCACCTTGCTCGCAGGTGCCCTTGCTGACCTGGGTGATGGCCTTCTCCCCGCGGCTCTCGGCCCTCTGGCTGGCGGCGCGCAGCTGGCAGCCGCTTGGGTAGGTGGTGCCATCGCTGCCGCACACCGGGTAACGGCTCTTGCACACGCACACGCCGCTTACCCCCGGGCCGCCGGCTGCTGCCCCGGCTTTACCCTTCCGCCTCTTGCGCGCAGGTGCCCTTGCTGACCTGGGTGATGGCCTTCTCCCCGCGGCTCTCGGCCCTCTGGCTGGCGGCGCGCAGCTGGCAGCCGCTTGGGTAGGTG